ATTGTGAAAAACTGCAGAATTATAGGGCAAAAAAAGAATAGGGCAAAAAAAGAACAAATTCTGTCCGAGGTCTGTATGATAAAAAAAGGGCCTCATAGTACTGTTTACCTGAGACGTGTTGAGAAAAAGTATGTTTAAAAGGCTGGTTTACAGGCCACCAGATTCGTCGCCAAGATTTACTTGTAAACTAAACTTGTCGAACACAAAAAATCCGGCCTGATTTTTTATTTTGGCCTCCCTTTTAGACAGAGGAATGCAACGTGTCAATTGGCTTCCACCAAGGACTATCGTGGCTCGTGTGTTTCTTAAAACTATATTTCGGGGTTGTCCAATTATCCATAGTCTCTCTAACGGAGCATTGTTGGAGAGACTGGAGAATGCCACATTATGATGCAACAGCTAATGCAAATACAATACACGAATAGGTCTATTTGTTTTCCAGGCCTAATCTACTGTGATCGAACATGATTGCTATTTTTGGGTGTACAAATAAGACCATTAACTCGATGTAAAATTTGTTTCACTCTTGGACTGTCAAATTATTTTTCTCTAAAGTCACTGAGCCTTAATTTGCCTCAAAAGTCACATGAATGTGCCCTATCTGTGGATTACAAGTTTACTGTTTGATTTAAGTTATGAATTTATTAACGGGAGCTTCGCTTTTAGCCATTGCTAAATCTATATATTAACTTATGATGTTTTTCATACAACACTAGTTAACACTCGCTTACCGCAAGAACGTTTCTAATACGTAACGGCCTAAAAGGTAGACGAAGCATTGAATGAAGCGGAGGCGCGGAGGGACAAAGCTGTTTCATCACGGCTCGCTAAACCGTGAAATTCACCTCAGAGCCTTTTCAGTTACATGAGCCTGAAGATTGACCCGGTTTACCGCTCTCCCGAGTGTCGGCACCACCGAGCAAGCGAGATAACCTGAGGGGACCAGTCTGGGTCAGGCTCTTGGCAGCAATTTTATTTGAATTGAACTGAAGAAGCACTGAGCATAAATGACTACGCGAGGATTTCGGCTGCGTTGACTATAAATGGGTAAGGCTTGTGTAAGATACTTACAGTGCCCAGCTGCCGAGAATGATCCCAAATTCATGTAAATCATTTTCAAACTCTATTTACATATGAAGAGACTATATTGTTCTGTCCAAAATAAAAAATTAAAATTAAAATTTTTCTCTGCACGGCCGCTTCCTTGCCATTCCTCTCCTCTCTCCCTTTTTTCCTTTTTTCTTCTCATTGACTTGACACAGAGATTGTCGGGCAAAGGCTCGGCGCCAGGCTACAAACATCCTCGCTCAGTTGTGCTTTGTCCCTGGTGATTCACAACATTACAGGAGCCTTGGTGTCGATGCATCCTTTTTTACCATGCCCGGGTATTCCCATTCTCCTTCACACTCTATCTGCTCTTCTTCCGTTTTCCTTTTTCCCTAATAACAATGGGACAATTTCTCTCAAACTTTTAATGCTAATTAATAGTTAACAGTTACGAATTACCATCTTAATGCTCTTATCCTCACCCTCTACTTCACCTCCTCATTTATTGTTATCTTAACAGACTACCTTCTACAATGGACAAACACTCTTTACTTCTAATCACCTTAATCAACACCACCTACGTAACCTCTCCCCCTCATCAATCATCCAACAGAGGCTTCAGCTTTTTAATTCATTCAACGGCGACGCATTTTATCCACTTTCTGTTTGGCCACAAGATTTTAAGTTAATTTTCTGGAAGAAACCTATTAGCGACAAATTCACCTTCAAACTATTTTTATTTTTAGTTGGCAATGGCTGCTCACCCAACCTCATTTCACACTGGATCTTAACCTCACAACACTGGACCTCAGACAAAAAAGCCGAAAAATGCGCGCGACAACTGGACTTTCTAATCAACAACATGGACAAAAAATCATATATTTAGTTTTATCTTGACTTACACAACTTAACGAAGAGTGGCTCTACCTTAATGGACAAAAAAGAACGACTAACAACTAACCATTTAAATACTCTTTCGACTGAATTTTGACATTACAAGTTATATTCCTAATATCAGTAATTTCACTGTGCAAATTCTTATCTTGTACATTTATTTCACTCATTTTTTGTAAATTACATTTCTATTACACTTTATATTTTATTCCCTTAGAATTGTTTTAAAGGTCATTTTCAGAACTATTTATACCTTATTAATATTCATTAGACTTTGCGCTTAGTGCATAAGCATGTGTTAGTTTTTTACAGTTGTCAGTTTGACTAACTTTAGTTGGAGTCGCCCCCACCCACCCACCCCTTCTGATTACTTTATTAGCACCTACGTGTCTTCCCCATCGAGATTGCTCGTCTGGGGTGACTTTCCATAACTAAATGCTAATAAGAATGCAAGAAGGATATTGAACGAAACTTTCACTAGTTTAATTGTTAATGGAAACTTTACATTTTCCTTTTATATAATTATAATCTTTTATTTTATCTTCTATTTCGAATATAATATATTCCATAATATTGCCCCATCTTTAAAATTATGTCACAATTTTCACACTTGTGCATACATCAAACTCTTAATATACTAACTCTACACCCCCTATTACTCCCCTTATGATTTTTATTTACGCAATACTGTAGTGGACATAGCTGCATGGCAGTTTGTGGGTCCCGCACTATTGTTGTGCCCTAACCCCCTAACGCCTTTTTTACTGTGGGCCTAACTGCTTTGCAGTTTATCAGTCCCTCAGCTACTTTGCTTAACCATAATTCTCACATATTTTTCGTTCCTTTTTGCTTACAACAATTCCCTACACAACCTTTATTATTTACTCCTTGGCTTCACCCACTAATTCTATCAGTGGAGGGGAACCCATGTATTTAATGATCCCTTTCCCAACACCCCGCAAAAAAACTGAGGTTACTAGAGAAACTACTGATTCATTTCTTAACTTTACAAAGAGAAATCTGCAGAATCAGTAATTCACTGAGTTTTTAACAACGTAAATATTTCGGTCTAATTTAAACTATATTAGTGATTCAAAAAACGTTTTTAAAAACGATAATATGTCAGTTTAAGGTTCAAATTTTCACTATATATATCACTAAACAAGACATCCACCTTATAATTATTTATTTTCACAAAAGAAACAATTTTAGTTTCTCATTTTTTCACCAGAGGGTTTTCTTTTTACTTGTCATAATTCTTTTGAACGAAATGTTATACATTAAACTTATTCAACCTATTCCTTTGATTGTCTTTTTCCTTATTTTTATAACCCTGGGTTTTTCCCTTTGGTTTCTCAACGTTCGCATCGATACTTGTTGTTTGGTATGACCATGTATCCTTCCTTGCAATTACAATCGTATTTTGATATGGTTTCTGCAGGTGGTACTTAAAGTATCACACAGGGCCGAACCTTCCGTGCACTCATCAATATCTAAAAATTAAAAGAATGTAGTGGCCTCAGAGAAGTTCTGTGTTAATCTGCTAAGTGTTTTCCAAAAGCTAACGATGTAAGTCTTGGTGAACCTGATTTCTAATAACCTGTAATAAGTGTACCTTAACTGCAAATACAAATCGACCTAGGTTTGCACTAGAATAAAAGTTGGAAGCCAGGTACATGTAGGTAACAAAACCACAGAAACATAAATATACAAAAATAGGGAAAGGTCTTTTCCTTCACGCTGCAATCGTGAATAATTAGAAAACAAGAATCACGCCAAACATTAACACAAGGACTGGATTTGCACTGTGGTGTAATTTTTACGTACGTATGCAAGTAAATTTTACGCGCCTAAAAATAGGAGCAGGCAATGTAAGGAAGTAGTCTTTAAGATGTGCCTGGGCGATTAAGACGATCCCATGGGAACACATGGGCGGATCCAGAATTTTTTTTAGGAGGGGGTGCACTTGTCTCTTGCTCTACTTCAACACCAATAAACCACATAGTTTTTTTTTTTGCAGAATACCAGTTTTATTAGAAAACCGCAGGTCATCTCAGGGGGGGTGCGCAACCCCTGCACCCTCCCCCTAGATCCGCCCCTGGAACACTGATGCGATTGTGGGCGATGCGAAATATCGAGGCGATCGCGAAAGCCCTTGGTAGACAGGGAGCTAGATTATTAATGTTGGGAGATTTCAAAATTATTGTCGGGATATCGATCGTTTTGATTCTCACAATCATACCTGCAAAAGTCGAGGCAATCGAGAAGACACCCTGGCTAGTTTGTATGAAGATCATGACTTAGAAATATCATAATTTTACCTTGGCAAGTTAAGCCATCAGGTTTTAACTGGTATCCACTGTAACAGGAACAGTTATAGCTTCCATAAGTGTTTGTACACGTGTGCTGACATCCACCGTTAGCTAGTGCGCATGATTTTTCAACAAAGCACTATTAGATAAAGGTACAGACATGCATATAGAGCTGTTTTATTTGAGTCATGTGTTAAATAAACGAGTGAGGCACTAAGTAGAATTTCCCATTAGTTATCTTAAATTTTTTAACCACAACGGAGTCTTCAGTGTAGAACGTTTCATGAGACGAATCAAACTCTAATTTGGGTCGACCTAAATTACTGTAAATTAAGATCGTCTGTTGATGTTTCACTTATTTGTATAAAAGTTATGTGTTCAACACCGACGACACTATTTGCTGATGAAGACTGTGTGAAACAATCGAAAAAATAAATGCCTTTTGCCTTTTATGTGATTTAAAAATCACAAGAGACCTTGAGATAAGAGTTATTACAAGATTATCACACTGTATCGCAATGTAAGGAAGTAGTCTTCAAAACTTGCCAGGGCGATTAAGAGGATCACATGGGAACATTGATGTGATTGTGGACGATACGGAATGTTGAGGCGATCGCGAAAGCCCTTGATAAACAGGGAGCTAGATTATCAATGTTAGGGGATTTCAAAATTATTGTCGGAATATCGATCGTTTTGATCCTCCCAATCATACCTGCAAAAGAAGAGGCAATCGAGAAGATACCATGGCTAGTTTGTATGAAGACCATGACTTGAAACTATTATAATTTTACCTTGGCAAGTTAAGCCATCAGGTTTTAACTGGTATCCACTGTAACAGGAACAGTTATAGCTTCCATAAGTGTTTGTACACGTGTGCTGACATCCACCGTTAGCTAGTGCGCACTCATCTTTATCTTTTGAAATAAAATTAAAGTGATTTTTAGTTATTTTCAACAAAGCACTATGAGATAAAGGTACACACATACATATACAGCTGTTTTATTTGAGTCATTTGTGTTAAATAAACGAGTGAGGCCTAGGCCAACAGAAGAAGTAGCATTAACTAAGTAGAATTCCCCATTAGTTACCTTAAATTTTGTAACCTCAACGGAGTCGTCAGTGTAGAACTTTTCATGATCGATCATGAGACGAACCAAACTCTAACTTGGGTCGACCTAAATTATATTAAGATTGTCTGTTGGGTCAGACATCAAACTTAGCACGCGTCGAACCAATCAACTGAATCAGATCAAAAAGCAAATTTATGATCAGCACTAAATGTTTTTCACGAGCGAGGCTAAATATACATTATCATACTAATTTTCAATTTATTAGATTAGTTTGCTCATGTGAAGATCGATCTATATCCCAGACGTTCTATAGACGCTCTATCCGTCTGAAGAAGACGGATAAGACGTGTTGGACGATCCATACTCATTCAGACGAACTTTACTGAGCCAGACGTCTAACGTTTCATAACTTAACTCCCTAAGTTTGGTTCGTCTCATGAAAAGTTCGACGTTTGGCCTAGAATATTATATTCCAGAATATCGGACTTCAACAGCTTTGTCCTAATCAAAGTTTCATGTACTTATCATTATCGAAAAATATTATCTATTTTTGTAAGGCTTATGCACAACTTCTAAAGTTATTTTCGACAGTTGATCTTGCTAAGGTTCAAGAATTTCTTCTTAGGCCTAAAAACAGTCATAGAAAATTTAACTAGTTGAAAGGCTCCTTCACCTTTGGCCACTGGGTGATGATATAATTCGCCCTGCAAAAGCTGCGGGTTTGCCAGATGAATCCCAACTTTTGTTCAATCAACCCCGCGATGGTTGTCCCGCACAATCTCACTCCAGTGTACATTAAGGGTGCGACAAAGCAAAAATGTGAAATACAAAGAAATCTTACCAACACAGTTCTTTCTCCTTGAATCAAGTTCATAGCCATTCGGACAAGAGCAGATGTAAGTGCCATCCAGGTTAATGCAATTGTGGCTACACCCACCCTTATTAATCAAGCATTCGTTGATATCTGAAGTAAAATTATGATTATATATAAGATTTGAATGTGGACAAGTACGTGCAAAATAGATGGATCATTAGACAGTTACTAGGGATCTTTAGGTTCGAGTGAGACGACCTCGAGGATGAAATTAAACTTCTATCAATTTCTTTAGCGTATTCTCAAAAAATATGCACCCCGGAAAATAGCTTCATTTTACTTTCTTTTGTTTTTGTTTTGTTTTTTTCACCAGAAGAGTTTGCATGGTTATTTTCATTGAAGAAATGGCTAAGCCCTGTCCTGGTCGATCGCAAAATGATAAAACTTCTTTCCGTTGATAACATATTTCCGCCACTGCGATATTCTCGCTGAAACCCGCAATAGAATGACGACGGCTACCACTTTTTCGAGCCAAAATGACGCTGGTTCAAGCGCGCGCACAACTTCGTATTGGGAAATCTCGTTCTCGTACTCGTTCTCGTTTTGGAAACTAAAGGTCTGTCTTTACGCACGAAAGAGACAGCTTTCATTGAAATAGCTCTACTGCTATTCCTCACTAGCCAATCAACCGCCGCGGATGACAAGTAACGAGGACGAATTGTAAGGATCATAAAAACTAGCGATTTCCGAAAGGTTTTCTTCGGTAATAATGACCGATAGGTCACTGAATGAAGAGAACTGAAACATGAGTCTTACGTAAAGTAACACTGTTACGTGGCGTCCCCCCGCCTGCCAACAAAGGAAAGTTAGCTCTAACCCGTCTTCCTAGTCACAAAAAATATGACCAGTTTCCCCCTCTACTAAGATTTAAACGAATTCCCTCCAATTGTACTGTAACGTTTTTCGACGGCTGCGTCTGGAACAGTACCACAAAACTACGACTATTTTAGAACAGTCCAATTGCGTGTCGTTTTCTAAATCGTCCTGTGAATCACTGGATTGCAGCTGTGAGTCAGTTGCGCTTCGTTACTTCGTTCTGGTGAGGCATGACCAGCATGGACATAACACATAACACGAGCTACTAAGCCTCTTTTCCTTCATTAACGTGTGAATGTTGCTGCTTCAGTTATATTCTTTTCCGTCAGCGAGTTGACTTGGTGCTCGCTACAAGGGTACCTCAGGGTGTCTTACATTCAATTCACGTCCCATTGCTTCCCATCAGCAAAAAGGTCTATTTACTTCAAATATTTACTAAAAGTCAGTTATCTGTACACTGGTATATTGAGTTGAGATCTGGTTCAAATCCTGAGCGGCATTTGCATTCGTAACTTCCAACAATGTTATAGCAATAGGTGGAGTTTAGCACGCGTTGATGGGTATTTTTTTTGTACATTCGTCGATGTCTCTCCGACAAAAACAGGTGGAGTGAGGAAATTAGAGAAAACAATACTCTTGAGAATATTAAATCGACGTGAGTTGGTTCAGATGAGAACAGATTGGGAGGATGGGAGAATTATAACATAATTGATTCTGAACAGAATTGGATTGTATGTATATAGCTTTTTAAGAGACCCTTACATCTTAAACATGGTGAGTTACCAACCGTCATGAATGTTTGACTTATTTCTATAAAACTTATGTGTTCAACAGCGACGAAGGCAGTATTTGCTGATGAAGACTGTGTGAAACAATCGAAAAAATAAATGCTTTTTGCCTTTTATGTTATTTAATAATAATAATAATGATAATAATGATAATAATAATAATAATAATAATAAACATAATTGTACAGGATTACCGCATCAGTTTTAAGAAAAAACTGCTATCAATGCAGGTCCTGTAAAAATTTAAAAATAAAAAATCGAAAAAAATTTTAACAATAATATAAAATAGTTACACTAAAAGGAAGTTTCGAACAGTTGTAATTTCTAAGAATTATCAAAAATGTTTCCACCTCTGTAAAAAAAAGCGCGCTTGGTGCATTCTAAAATAACTTTTTCTATCATAAGGTCATTATTATTTCTAGTTTTGTGGCGGTGAATGTCATGGTTTCTTACATTGAAATAATTAAAAATGTATCTGGGAACTCTATTTGCAATGCACTCATTAACAAATCTTAAAATGTGTGGCCGTCTTTTATAATAGAGAGGTTCCAAGCCCAGTTTTTTGGTCATAATTTGATCAGTTGATAGTTTTGAGGTAGCTTTGAAGTAGACGATCCTCGCTGCTCGTCTTTGTAGTCGTTCAATCTTGTCACTGTTTCCTTGTCCACATTCATGCCACACAGCATCATAATAATCTAGAACCCGATGACTATGGCTTTAAAGAGTCTATTTGCAGCTTTTAGCGTAAGTGAAGGTCTTATTCTAGAGAACTTTCTGAGTATCCTAGATACCTTCATCCTCACATAGTCCACATGGCCATTGAAGGAAAGGGTGTCATCAAGAACAACACCCAGGTACTTAAAAATCACAAGACAGCTTTAGACAAGAGTTATTACAAGATTATCACACTAAGCGTTAGGCCTCGTAGGAATACTATTTTTTTCCTGACCTTTATTGTCTTTACCGTGAATTACTTGATTATAATCAAACATAGAAGTACGTATCTCGCAAACTCGTTGATGAACCCAAGATAAGCCTTGCCTGTCGCAGTTTTAATTAGAAATTGGTTGGGTAACCAGCCGCGAATATCGTGTGGCGACGACTCCTATATTTATCTTTATTGTCTTCTTCCTTTTGATCGTTGGTTTTATTGTCCAGTTTCCCACAGTTATTTCCCCCCTTCTTTTTCTGGTCCTCAGTGGCCAGTAATCAGACCACAGATGATGGAGGCAAAATTCTTTGTAAAGAGCAGTTTAGGTTGGGGAGAGGCATAAATAAACAAATAAATGAATAAATAAATAAATAAATAAATAAAAGAGCAATTTACCGTTGCACTGATACCGATTATATCTTTCATAGCCAGGCCGACATGTGCAAGAGTAGCTTCCTACCGAGTTTCGGCAAGTGGTAGTTGACTTGTCGCATGCATCTGTATTCTCGATACATTCGTCAATGTCTGCCCATATATCAAAAAAGAAAGGAAATAAATGAGGAAGACTAGAAATAGAGATGAGCAGGCATATTGCTGCTAGCAATACCCAGGAATATAATAGCCTTATTTCACGTAACGTCACCTATTGACGCCTATTGCAAACCAGGGCTTAATTAGCTCTTGAGACAATGGGTTCTTTCATTTCAGTAGCTGACACATTTGACAGGGGCACCCAACGACAATTTTCGGAAAATATCTGTTCGGAAGACGACTTTAGATCTAGAATTTTCGGAACATTTATTGTAAAATTCCTTGCTTGCCTGTCTCTCCTAGGATTTTCGAACATCTACAAAATGGTATAATTACCCATTTTTAACGGATTTTTACCCTAAAAAAGCCCACCTAGAATTTTCGGGAGCCTTTTCCTGGCTGAAATTTTCGAAAAGGTAAGTTTTTATCCCTATAATTTTCGGATCACTAGACTTTCAGCTAGGAAATCCGAATAGATGAAAAGTTTTTAGGGGATAAAAATATGCCTATATATACCGTTTAAATACTAAAATACGTTCAACAATGCTTTGTTGAGTGGTTTTGAACTATATCCTCGTTGGGTGCCCCTGATTTGAATAGCAAAAACAATGTTGACAAACAAGACACTTTAACTTATAAGACTAATGCAGATCATTTGACAGGTTAACTCCACATAATTTGATTTGATTGAAATACTCACCACCACAAGACTTTTTATCGTTTTGTAGCCTGAAGCCGCTCTTACAAGCACACGTGAAACTTCCGTCGTTATCATTGCAGCCGCCGGTACCTTCTGCGCATTCATCAATGGCTGCGGCCGCACTTGGGGACTTGACCGAGTTATTTCCAATTAACTAACTAAAGTTAACTCGTTTAAAAAACTGAGAGTGCGGCCGTAATTTGTTGTAACAAAGAGAGGCATTCTTTGCCAGTTCCCTCAGAAGAAGATTTTTGAGGCAGTGAGAGTATTGCCTGGGTGTTTTTATGTATTTCACGTGTCATACACCCAGTGCAAAGCCATCTTGACTTTTCTAGATCTAGCATTGCTTGAAAGTGGACTGGGGCAGACATTTGTCAGTGTTTTCGCCCCTTTTTTAAAATGACCTGGCAAATGCCTGAGTTCTTGCTGAATGTTTATTCTTTACAGCAAGGAGCCCAAAAGTGTAACCTACCTTTAATTAACTCACATTCTTCCACGCAGGCATCAACCAATTGGAAGTCAAGTACAGTTCCCAGCTGGCTTCTGATTGGATTAAATCTCCACGAAAGAATGTGAATAAATCAAAAGCAGTCACACTTTTGGGCTCCATGCTGTTACTCTTTCACCCTTATAGACCAAGATTTGGCAAGATATTTTAAACATAATGAGTCATTAAAGGCTTGTTTGCTGGCGATGGGTACAGAGCCCGAACCGTAATCAAAAGCGCACAGTGTTGATCTAGTTAAAACCGAGTATAATTACTCCAATTACGACTATTTCACTTTCCATCTAGTGAAAACTATAGGTTGTATTGTTGGCGTTGCAAGCAGAAGCTGAAGACCTAAACCAATCACAAAGCATGGGAACAAGCATTGTTACTGGTTTATCTTTCCACAGTACTCCTGCTTAATCTGGTTTTCTACAGCATAAGCAGAATATGAAGAATAGAAAATTCTGATGACTCCAATTCCATCAAGCTTCTAGTATGACTCCCCCTGCGACTGTGAATTTTGATTTTCACCAGGTCATAAGTGCTCTTTCGACTCTGATTATGACCCTGACTTTGTCACGAGTGAAAACCAGCTTTTAAGGGATTTAGTCGGATTGCACTCAGGTGTCACTCTTGCCCAATTTCCTACAATTCCAAAGATTATTAGGTTGGAAGGTGTATGTTACATATGTTGGAATACACATTGTTATGATACATAGTTAACAGATATACTTCATTATTTTTGGCTAAAAAAGAGTACAGTAACTTGCTTATAACTGAATAAATGTTTGAAAACTTTAACTTAAGTTTGATTTCATTATTTGAAAGACCCATCAACTACTGAAATGGCCCAACGTGGAGCTGAATCGGCTACCTTTTGAGGGGTATCAATTTAGCCCCCAAAACTGGTACCAAAACATCCCCATTTCAGTAAGGCTGAATTGGCCCCTAAAACAGTACCATTCTGGACTCACCCGTCTTGGCCCCATTTTTTGGGACCATAAATTAGCTCTTTTCATTTTACAGTGTAATAGGTAGCTACAGTGTACCTTAACTGCTAATACAAATCGATCTAGGTTTGCACTAGAATAAAAGTTGAAAGCAAGGTACATTTATAGGTATGACAAAACCACAGAAACCGCATGAATGTACGAAGATATAGGGAAAGGTCCTTTGCTGCATGGTGCATTCGTAAATAATTAGAACACAAGAATCGCGTCAAACATTAAAACAGGGGCTGGATTTGCACTGTCGTGTAATTTTTACGTACGTACGCAAGTAAATTTTACGCGCCTAAAAATAGAAGTAGGCAATGTAAAGAAGTAGTCTTCAAAATGAGCCCGGGCGATTAAGACGATCACATGGGAACACTGATGTGATTGTGGGCGATACGTAATATCGAGGCGATCGCGAAAGCCCTTGATAAACAGGGAGCTAGATTATAAATGTTGGGGGATTTCAAAATTATTGTCGGGATATCGATCGTTTTGATCCTCACAATCCTACCTGCAAAAGTCTAGGCAATCGAGAAGATACCCTGGCTAGTTTGTATGAAGACCATGACTTGAAACTATCATAATTTTACCTTGGCAAGTTAAGCCATCAGGTTTTAACTGGTATCCACGGTAACAGGAACACTTATAGCTTCCATAAGTGTTTGTACACGTGTTGACATCCACATTTTTAGCTAGCGTGCATTCATCTTATCTTTTGAATAAAATTAAAATGATTTTGTTATTTTCAACAAAGCTCTATTAGATAAAAGTACAGACATACATACACAGCTGTTTTATTTGAGTCATTTGTGTTAAATAATCGAGTGAGGCCTGGTCCAACAGAAGGAGTAGCATTAACTAAGTAGAATTCCCCATTAGTTACCTTAAATTTAAGGTAACTAATGGGGAATTCTACTTAGTTAATGCTACTCCTTCTGTTGGCCCAGGCCTCACTCGATTATTTAACACAAATGACTCAAATAAAACAGCTGTGTATGTATGTCTGTACTTTTATCTAATAGAGCTTTGTTGAAAATAACTAAAAATCATTTTAATTTTATTTCAAAAGATAAAGATGAATGCACGCTAGCTAAAGGTGGATGTCAGCACACGTGTACAAACACTTATGGAAGCTATAAGTGTTCCTGTTACAGTGGATACCAGTTAAAACCTGATGGCTTAACTTGCCAAGGTAAAATTATGATAGTTTCAAGTCATGGTCTTCATACAAACTAGCCAGGGCATCTTCTCGATTACCTAGACTTTTGCAGGTAGGATTGTGAGGATCAAAACGATCGATATCCCGACAATAATTTTGAAATCCCCCAACATTTATAATCTAGCTCCCTGTTTATCAAGGGCTTTCGCGATCGCCTCGATATTACGTATCGCCCACAATCACATCAGTGTTCCCATGTGATCGTCTTAATCGCCCGGGCTCATTTTGAAGACTACTTCTTTACATTGCCTACTTCTATTTTTAGGCGCGTAAAATTTACTTGCGTACGTACGTAAAAATTACACGACAGTGCAAATCCAGCCCCTGTTTTAATGTTTGACGCGATTCTTGTGTTCTAATTATTTACGAATGCACCATGCAGCAAAGGACCTTTCCCTATATCTTCGTACATTCATGCGGTTTCTGTGGTTTTGTCATACCTATAAATGTACCTTGCTTTCAACTTTTATTCTAGTGCAAACCTAGATCGATTTGTATTAGCAGTTAAGGTACACTGTAGCTACCTATTACACTGTAAAATGAAAAGAGCTAATTTATGGTCCCAAAAAATGGGGCCAAGACGGGTGAGTCCAGAATGGTACTGTTTTAGGGGCCAATTCAGCCTTACTGAAATGGGGATGTTTTGGTACCAGTTTTGGGGGGCTAAATTGATACCCCTCAAAAGGTAGCCGATTCAGCTCCACGTTGGGCCATTTCAGTAGTTGATGGGTCTTTCAAATAATGAAATCAAACTTAAGTTAAAGTTTTCAAACATTTATTCAGTTATAAGCAAGTTACTGTACTCTTTTTTAGCCAAAAATAATGAAGTATATCTGTTAACTATGTATCATAACAATGTGTATTCCAACATATGTAACATACACCTTCCAACCTAATAATCTTTGGAATTGTAGGAAATTGGGCAAGAGTGACACCTGAGTGCAATCCGACTAAATCCCTTAAAAGCTGGTTTTCACTCGTGACAAAGTCAGGGTCATAATCAGAGTCGAAAGAGCACTTATGACCTGGTGAAAATCAAAATTCACAGTCGCAGGGGGAGTCATACTAGAAGCTTGATGGAATTGGAGTCATCAGAATTTTCTATTCTTCATATTCTGCTTATGCTGTAGAACGGAGTCGTCAGCGTAGAACTTTTCATGAGACGAACCAAATTCTAATTTGGGTCGACCTAAATTAAATTAAGATCGTCTGTTGCGTCAGACATCGAACTTAGCACGCGTCGAACCAATCAACTGAATCAGACCAAAAAGCAAATTTATGATCAGCACTAAATGTTTTTCACGTGCGAGGCTAAATATACATTATCATATACTAATTTTTAATTTATTAGATTAGTTTGCGGATGTGAAGATCGATCTATATCCCAGACGTTCTATAGACGTCCTATCCGTCTGAAGAAGACGGATAAGACGTGTTGGACGATTCAAACTCATTCAGACGAACTTTGGCCAGACGTCTAACGTTTCAAAACTTAACTCCCTAAGTTTGGTTCGATTAACAAGTTTGGAAATATTTCGAAACCTGATAAAAAAGCCAATCACTATTTTTTAAATTATAGTTAAGACTTGGTTTAGTTATTTTTATATAAAGGAATCGTTGGGCTTTTCATGTCTCTTTCTCTTCCAGAATATCGGACTTACGCAGCTTTGTCCTAATAGCATTTTTAAGTACTTATCATTATCTAAAAATATTATCTATTTAAGGCTTATTCACGATCTCTAAAGTTATTTTCGACACTGGATCCTAAAATGACTGACTAACTTTAATGAATTTCTACTTAGGCGGCCTAAAAACACTCGTAGAAAATTTAACTATTTCAAAGGCTCCTTCACCTTTGGCCACTGGGTGATGATGCATGTTATTCGCCCTACAAAAGCTGCGGGGGTGCCAGTTGAATCCCAGGCTTTGTTCAATCAACCCCGCGATGGCTGTCCTGCACAATCTCACTCCAGTGTACATTAAGGGTGCGACGAAGCAAAAATGTGAAATACAAAGAAATCTTACCAACACAGTTCTTTCTCGTTGAATCAAGTTCATTGCCAGTCGGACAAGAGCAGATGTAAGTGCCATCCAGGTTAATGCAATTGTGGCTACACCCACCGTTATTAATCAAGCATTAGTTGATATATGGAGAAAAATTATGAATGTATATAAGATTTGAATGTAGACAAGTACAAGCAAAATACATTGTACATTAGACAGTTACTAGGGATCTTTAGGTTCGAGTGAGACGACCTCGAGGATGAAATTAAACTTCTATCAATTTCTTTAGCGTATTCTCAAAAAATATACACCCTGGAAAAAAAGCTTCATTTTACTTTCTTTTGCTTTTGTTTTTTTCACCAGAAGAGTTTGCATGGTTATTTTCATTGAAAAACTGGCTAAGCCCTCTCCTGGTCGATCGCAAAATGATAAAACTTCTCACCGTTGATAACATACTTCCGCCACTGCGACATTCTTGCTGAAACTGAAAATGGAATGACGACGGCTACCACTTTTTCGAGCCAAAATGACGCTGGTTCAAGCGCGCCCACAACTTCGTATTGGGAAATCTCGTTCTCGTTTTGGAAACTAAAGGTCTGTCTTTACGCACTAAAGAGACAGCTTTCATTGAAATAGCTCTACTGCTATTCCTCATGATCACTAGTCAATCAACCGCCGCGGAAGACAAGTAACGAGGACGAATTGTAAGGATCATAAAAACTAGCGATTTCCGAAAGGTGTTCTTTGGTAATAATGACCGATAGGTCACTGAATGAAGAGAACTGAAACATGAGTCTTACGTAAAGTAACACTGTTACGTGGCGTCCTCCCGCCTGTCAACAAAGGAAAGTTAGCTCTAACCCGTCTTCCTAGTCACTTAAAAAGATATTAAACGAATTCCCTCCAATTGTACTGTAACGTTTTTCGACGACTGCGTCTGGAACAGTACGACAAAACTACGACTATTTTAAAACAGTCCAATGGTGTGTCGTTTTCTGAATCGTCCTGTGAATCACTGGATTGCAGCTGTGAGTCGGTTGCGTCACTTCGTCCGATTTCTGGTGAGTCATGACCAGCATGAACATAACACATAACGCAAGCTACTAAATGCCTCTTTTCCTTCATTAACGTGTGAATGTTGCTGCTTCAGTTATATTCTTCTCCGTCAGCGAGTTGACTTGGTGCTCGCCACAAGGGTACCTCAGGGTGTCTTACATTCAATTCACGTCCCATTACTTCGATCCCATTAGCAAAAAGGTCTATTTAGTTCGAATACTTAATGAAAGTCATTTATCTTTACGCTGGTATATTGAGTTGGGATCTAGTTCAAATCCTGAGCGGCATTTGCATTCGTAACTTCCAACAATGTTATAGCAATAGGGGGAGTATAGCACGCATTGATGGGTATTTTTTTGTACATTCGTCGATGTCTCTTAGACAAAAACAGGTGGAGTGAGGAGATTAGAGACAACAATACTCTTGAAAATGTTACATCGACGTGAGTTGGTTCAGATGAGAACAGATTGGGAGGATGGGAGAATTATAAAATAATTGATTGCTGAACAGAATTGGATTGTATGTTTAGCTTGATGAAGACTGTGTGAAACAATCGAAAAAATAAATGCCTTTTGCCTTTTATGTGATTTAAAAATCACAAGAGACCTTGAGATAAGAGTTATTACAAGATTGTCACACTGTATCGCAATGCAAGGAAGTAGTCTTCAAAACTTGCCAGGGCGATTAAGAGGATCACATGGGAACATTGATGTGATTGTGGACGATACGGAATATCGAAGTGATCGCGAAAGCCCTAGATAGCTTTGTAACAAAAAAAAAAAACAAAAAACAAAAAAGGACAGTAGATATATCTAGCAACCTTTGTGGAATTACAGGTGTGGTATGGAATCCCTAATGAAAGGGTTCCCAAGTCTCCACTAAAATAGTGGGTAAGGTGGGGAGGGAGGATGCGTGTATACAAGGGTGTTGTGTGTATAAAAACAGAACAAAAAAGTTACATGTTAAGATTAGCACTGATAATGAGGGACGGGCAAACTGCAGAGCTATGCCTACCTCAAAGAAGAGCAAAAAATTATTTAGTAGAAAGTAAAAATTACTGAAATTTTAATAAGGATAGGATTAAATAAAATATTAAAGTTGAAAAATAAAAAGAATAAGTATTGAGGGACTGGCAAACTGTCAAACAGCTATGTCAACCTCAAAATAGAGTTAGGATAAGTATAAGAGGATGAGGGGTTAGAAGGTAAAAATAATGAGGAGGATGATAGGAAGATGAAAGGGGAAAAGAGGGACCGGCAAACTGCAGAGCAGTCATGTCAACCTCTTGGAAAGTTAAAAATAAAGAAGAGAGAAGAGGAAAAGGAGGAAAAATAATATATAAAAAAAATAAAATATATATATATATATATATATATATATTTAATAATAAAATGAAATAAAATAAATGATAGAATGAATGAAATAAAATAAAATAAATGAATAATAAAGGAGAGACTCCGGGTTAAACAAAGGAAAAAAAAACAAACAAAGGAATTACTTCAATAACTTTAATGTGTGATTTTCTCTTCAAAAATAATGATAACATGTTTGTGAAAAAATGAAAACGTACAGTTGTATCTTTGGTGAAAACAAATTATAATAACCCAGATGGCTTGTTAACTGATACAGTGAAAACACTACATGAGCTTCACATAATTATTGGTGTATAGTCGTTCTTAAAAACTTATCGAATCACTGAAATAGTTAAAATTAGATGGAAATATATTCGTTCTTAAAACACTCAAGGAGTTATCGACTCTGAAAATAATTATTCCTTTCAATAAAAATTTGAAAAAGACTCAGTAGTTTCTCTAGTAACTATAGCGACATCTGCAGAGTTGTGAAAATTGTGAAATAAATTAAAATGTTGGATAATACTTTAAAATATAGTCCGATACATTGGATAAAATACAACATTAGAATTAAGCAAAGGAAAAAGTCACATGTAATCTTCCATAAAAAAGGGGGACGGGGTTGATAGAAATGCACAGGATAAGAACTTTCTTAATGAAACTATTATAAGTAGTATAACTTGAAATATTACAAAAATGTAATTGAAAGAGAATTTAAATGGTTAGTTTTTAGTGGTCCTTTTTTGTTCTCGCTGACATTAATAATTATAAGGGATACAACTTGTAATTTTTAAAAAAAATATTTTTTGAAAGAGAATTTAAAATGGTTAGTCGTTAATTGTTGTTAGTCGATCTTTTTTGTCCGTTAAGGTAGAGCCATTCTTCACAGTGCAGATCAAAATAAAACCAGATATGAGATTTGTTGTCCATGTTGTTGAGAAGAAAGTCTAGCTGGCGGGCACGTTTTTCTGCCTTTTTGTCAGTGGTCCAGTGTTGTGACGTCATGATCCAGTGTGAAGTGAGGTGGGGTGAACAGCCATTGCCAATTAAAAATAAAAACAGTTTGAATGTGTTCTTGTCGCTGATTGGTTTTTTCCAAAAAATTAACTTAAAATCTTGTGGCCAAACAGAAAGTGGATAAAAAGCGTCGCCGTTGATAGAATTAAAAAGTTGAAGACGTTGTTGGATAATAGATGCACGGGAGAGGTTGCGGAGATGGTGATGGTAAAAGTGGAGTGTGGAGTGGTTGTTATCCATAGTTGAAAGTAGTCTGTTAATATAACAATAGAGGAGGGGGTGGGGATAAGAGCATCAGGATGGTAATTCGTAATTAATAACTATTAATAGTAATAGGTAATAGCGTCGTAAGTTATGACAAAAATTGTCTTATTTTTATTAAAGGAAAAAAGGAAGTAGGAGAGGAACAAAAGAGTGTGAAGGAGAATGGGAATACTCGGGTATGGCAAGAAAAAGGATGCATCGACACCAAGGCTCCTGTAATGTTGTGAATCATCAGGGGCAAAGCACAACTGAGCGAGGATGTTTCTAGCCCGGCGCCGAGCCTTTGCCCGACATCCTCTGTGTCGAGTCCTTGAGAAGAAAAAAGGAAGAGAGGAGAGAAATGGCCGGGAGGTAGCCAAGAAGAGAGAGAGAGAAAAGAAAGAGAAGAAGAAGAAGAAAAAGAAGAATAGAAAAAAAAAAACCACAAACAAATAAACTTTGAGCAGAACAATATACTCTCTTTGTAAGTAAATAGAGTTGCAAAACGATAATTAAAAAATATGAATTATAACGGTAAAGCGGAAAGCAGCAGTTGAGTAGTTTAAAAGTAACAAATTAATTACGCTAAAGTGACAATATCTTACCACGAAAACAAAGCGTTTCTTCAAAAATGCCGGTTGTGAAAAAAGGTCAGTCCTGGAAATAAGGAGGCCCAAAATTAAAAACAATTATAAGGAATGAGGAGAAGTTCCGTAGAGAAATACTTACATCTGGAAAGAAATGGCTCCTCTAGGGTAAACGTAAGAAAAGAGTGAAAAATGCGGAACAAAATTCTGTCGTAACAAAAAAAATTTTTGTCAAAACAAATTAAAATTGACGCCAGAATGACGCGAGCCAATGACGTACGAGAAAGGTGTCGCAATGATAGATGGGATAGCTGTCAACCTTTCCAAGGATATGAGCGGCCAAGAGGGTTGAAATTGTGTTTATAAAGCGTAGAAATCAGTCTTTTCAAGGCCAGGTGTCGAAATATTTATGGGGTGGCAGTTATCGTAGTGTGCTGGGATGGATTTGGAGTAAGCAGGTTTTGTTCGGAGTTATATCGCAATCGGTGAGTCGGAACAACAATTTCAGTATGATCGATCGTTCTTCTTGTGGATGAAAACTGGAGCTGAGTTCAGGAGCTGAGTGCAGGTTGAGCAAGCAATCTGGTCGTTGGAGGTAAGGAATCGAAGTTAAGTATTCATAATATGATATATCGTTCTTTTTGCGATGACCAAGAGTTTAGTCTGAAAGAGTTGTTGGTGTGTGAGTCGTGTTTTACAAGGATAAGGATGGTAAAATTTCGCTAGACTGTATGTAAGGAGAGGAGTTTCAAAACAAGGCAGTGTAAAAAGGGGGAGACGCGATACGATGCCGCAGTGAAATAGGCGGTGACTGCTTTTGAGATTAAACCCTCTAAATAGATTTATTGATAAAGTCCTAGAAGTATAATGCTAAAAAAGCTTGATAGGGAATAGTGAAAATCGATTAAAATATTAGGGTATTTACATAAGTATGGTAGTGTAACTTTTTAGTGAAAGTAAAATATCTAGTAGAATGAATTAAAATTTGATTTGCACACAAGTGTCAAGTAGAATGAATTAAAACTTGATTACATATAAGTGTCAAATTTAAAAGTTATTAAAGCTTGAAGCTAGCATAATTCTATATTGAAGTAGTGCGAAAGTGTTCATATGACCATTGGTGTTGCATATTGTTTAGGGTATAATAAGTTAAATTTGCAGTGCTAAAATTCTAATCGTATTAAAAGTGGAGAAACTATGTAAATGGTGGCAGATGAAGAACTCACTGAGATGAAATAAATAACCAGCAAAGATTTGGCAAAAGGAAAATTGGTTGCTGGTAGATATAAATTTTTAAGTGGTAGAATTATTAAATAGGATTAATTTATGGTGTAACATTTTATTAGTAAGAAGGAGTGTGTGGAGTTTAGTAGAGTTGCAGTATGCTTTTGAGAGTTTCGGTGTGTGTGGGTTGTGGTATTTGAGTAGAATGTTGTTGACCAGTTTGTCTGTTCGTTTGTCTTTGTTGTATAGAGTCTTGTAGTAAACAGTGGGTCTGGTAACGTTATTAGTCTGTTTGTTTTTGAGGCGTCGCTGGTGAGCAGTGCGTGTGATCCATGGAAATGAATGTTCAGTGATCAGTTGTAAAGGATAGTCTAAGGCAGTAAGTCTAAGTGTGAAAAGGTGGTGAATGAAGTTGTAGTCGTCTAATGTGGCTGAAAGTCTACTGTATCGTATAGTTTCAGTTTTAATGATACCAGCAAAAATATGATGAGGGTGGTTAGATGAAAAATGAGGGTACATGTATTTGTGGTGTGGTTTCTGGTAGATTTGGTGATGCACTCTGTGGGACTTGATGGTGAAGTGGTTGAGTGACAAAGTGAGATCTAGGTAATGAGTGGTATGGTGATTTGATGTGAAAGTGAGAGGTATTTGTGGCGGGTAAGAGCTGCAAAGGTTAGAGATGATATTAGGTAAGTTAGCTTTGCTGGTTAGCATAAATCCATCATCTATATAACGGCAGAAAATAAAAATGCTATTAGTAGGGCAGTTGGTATTGTTAAAAAAAGAAAATTCGCTTAGTAGGAGCACGAGGTCCGCAATTTGCCGCCTATGGTAGCTGCCCATAGCAACCCCTTTAATTTGCTGGTAGGTGGTATTACCAGCCCTAAAAAAGTTACGTTGGTTAATAAAATTATTAAGGTTAAGCAAATAATCCCTATAAAAATTAGGCAAATTAAGCAGTTTACAGCTCTTAATGATGGCTTGAGTGGTGTCATGGTATGAAATGTTTGTGTAAAGTGATGTGAAGTCAAAAGTTGTGACACTTAATTCGTACATGCTGGTAATACGTAGTTTGTCTAATAAAAGCAGTAAGTCATATGAGTTGTAAATCAATGGGTATGGTATGTTTCGTTCTTCAAAAAGGTTTTTCAGTTGTAAAATAATATTGCCTAGTTCAGTCCCCAGTAGACGTGAGGGGTTGGATGTTACCCAGCTGTGCGCAGTGATAATAGGTCTACCAGTTAGTTTGTTTAGGTTGTCGTATGATGCAGGTTTGTCGAGTTTGTGTACTTTAGGTAGTAGTTTCATGTAGGGTAGTTGTAGTCTGTCTTGTGGGGTGGGGTCCAACAGTCGCGAGTTGTCTTGGTTAGTGATAACAGTGGAGAATCGTTTTTTGAATTGGCCAAGTAGTGTGTGGGAGTTAGTGATAGTTTGTTTACAGTTAAAGTTGTCGATACGTTTGTAGGTAGAAAGGTCGGAGAAATGTCGTTTGTATTCGGTGGAGAACCATGAAGTAGGCACAAAAGCCCAACCCATGTTTTTGTCAGAAACTGTAAGTATTACGCCATTGTCGTTCTGTACGTTTGTAATGTAAGATGTGGTGTGTGGGAGGGTGTTACATAATTTAGGATAAATAATAGAACGCAATTTAGCAGGTTGCAAAAATTCTTTAGTGAAAGAAACAGTATTGTGAACATAGTCAATGAGGTGAAGGTTGAAGTGAGGCCGTGATTGTTCTTGTTGTAGTAAAGGAAGCGGATGCATCTGCTTGCGGTAAGGATGGAAACGGAGAAGTGATTTGGAAGTTTTAGATGAGTTGAGCTTGGTGGTGTGGTTTTTCTTGCGGATGAGGGAACAGAGAGCTGTGTTGACTTCAGATTCGATGGTCTTTTGGAGAGAAGAGATGCTTGGCGTAGTGGTGGTAGGGATGAAGTTAGTTCCTTTGTTGAGTAAAGAGATGGCATCAGGCGGCAGTGATGTGGAGGTGAAGTTGTGAACTTTGTTTGATGAAGATAGTTTGATTTTTTCTGATTCAGTGAAAGTGGCGCGTTGTGACTTTAGGTTCTGTTCCATGATATGGGCGGTGTTTGAGGAGGAAAGGGTGTGTCTTGTCTGGAGAAGGTGGAGGAAGAGTCTGTGGGTATTGTTGATTTTGTTTAGTTGATGACGGAGTTGATGGCCTTTGATGAGACTGTGTAAGTTATTTTATTCCCTATATTTACTCAACGTTTGGTAAACTTAAAACCTAGTATAATTTACTTGTACAGCGTTTTTGGAGTTTTTGAGCAGTTTTTGTTGAGCATTTATTCAGCCTTGGCGTCTCACAATCGTGGGGACTTAGTTTATAGCGGTTCTCCTCCCTTCTCTATTTCCACTGACTTGCTCAGTGTGACGGGTTTCTGCTCTCTTCCGTTGCCCGTTGGGGCTCATAGCTGGGTTGCCAGGATTTGCCAGCCGTGGAAGCGGTCTCCCTCTAGGAGCTGGCTGCCAATAGTGGAAGATCCTGGATATCTCTGGCACCTAAATTCCACTTCGCGACGTAGTTGTTTAAGGCTGAATTAATAGTTTGTTTTCGTAACTCGTATGGTTCATGGCACATGTGCTCACAATTGCCTCTGGACGTAAAGGCATAAACCGCTTGGCTATGGATCGGGACATTATAGAACGATTCAGATCATGCACACCTGAACCAAGTTAGCCTTCAGTTTAAGTGACTAAGTTGGTAAGCAACGAATTTTGGAGGGACAGATCTTTGTATAAATACCTCGTCATTTTGGAAATTCTGACCAATCCCGACAGAGTTACACACCGTAGTCTAACATTTTTGGCAAAAATCCACTGCCAATTTTGCTATTCACCAACTACTCTTTCCAGATAAATTTCTCCCTTTTATGGAAAGTTAAACAGCCACAATTCCGTGGGAAAGAGGCACGATAATGCGGGCAACAAAACAAGTTAAAGAAAACATAGAAAGAGATTCGCCTAAACAGTCCAACTTTTGGTTCAGGAGCGGATTGATTAAAAAATGCAGCTTTTGCGCTATTTAAATTCTGTATAGAAAGGGTTCGACAATAACATGATATCTTTATTTTGCCTTGTCCTCCTATGAGGGCTATGTAAATGACTAGTTATGAATTATGATTCCGTATTTGCTTGGTGAGGCTATCCTTTTCTCAAACGACTTCAAGCACATTTCAGATTTTGAGGGGACAGAGATTTGTTCTACCTTTGGATGTTAACATGGCCTTACCAACTTCTTAGTGCTCCTTTATTGCCCAACTCTACAAGGCGTGCATGCCTGTGAATCGAATTCGCGTTCTCTGATTAGCTAACTTTGTTCAAAGATCGTTGTGATCTGGCAATGACAGATTTTACGTGTTATTATATCTATAAATTTCGATCAGTTCAGTTCAATTCAGGCAATATTTTTCCAGCCATAATCAGAGGTTACGCCACTATTTTGTTCTCGCTCATGCGGTCATTTTTGGGCCTTGTCCGTGTTAGACTATCCGCTGCGGCTGTGCTCCTCTTTACCTGTCAAAGTCTTTTCAAGGTCGTCAATCAGTGCATCTTAGTGTATATATTATGGCGTCAGAAGATCAATATTCCTAGTCGACTTTCATCACTATTTCATCACGAATATCCTTGTCTGGAAACTTTTGTGCTCTTTGTGCACATGATAATGTCTAATGTGCGCCCTGAAGAGGCCAAGGCTTCTTGACAAACCACTTCTTGGTGTCAATCAACTATCTAAGTCAATCAAGGTCTCTAAATCGAGGTTCAACTAATCAAAAAAGTAACTTAGGTTAAAAAACGACTTCAAATGAGACTGTTTAAATTATTTTATCCCATATATTTTCTCAACGTTTGGTAACTGTTGAGAAATATGACGTACTATAATTTACTTGTACAAGTCGTTCCGTTTTCTGGCTCTAGAGCGGGGTTCGGTGTCCCGACATTGACGGGCTTGGGCAGAACTGTTGTTCCTGCTACTCTGTCAAACGAAAAATTCGTCACCTGCGATCTGACGTGTTCCACCGTGTTTCGCTGTGGACGGAAAAGGAGGATGTAGACTTTTGGTCCGAACATGCAACCCAACAAACCAAACGAAGTTACTAACGTCGTTAGGCAAGACACCAGTGTTACGTACCAGCTGTCAAACGTATACGCCACAGGGTAATATGTTATTGATGACAATAGTAGAATGTACATAGAGAATCCTATGTATTTTGTCTCGTTAAAGTTCTCAGGAATGCCTCGTCCTTTGAAAGCGTAATACGTACACAATAGAGCCACAGTAATTATGTAACAAGAAACGGTGATGAAGAGTGCGAAGCCGGTGTTGGTGTAATAAGGTTTGCACAAAAGAAAAATGTACTCATCTGAACGGATGATCTTTTCGCGCCCAGGAGGATCAGTGGACATCCACAGTCCTAACAGAGAAGTTGGGACTAGATTCACGACAGAAGTAAAGATGATTTGCCTTGTATGAGTTTTGTAACACGGTGTAAACAACAGGGCAACTTTGTCGATCCCAAACACGCTCGTAATCCGCATCGTTTTCGTAAATAGCACTGTAACACACAGATTGAGGGCAAAATAACGCCAGAAAGTTGCTGCAATGCAAAGTATATTGCTGGGCTCAGAAAGGTCAAGAATGGCTAGTATATGAATACCTGAGATGCCAAAGAGCAAAAGAAAAGAGATCTCTCTGTTGGAAGCCTTCACAATCGGGGTGTTATGAAACTTGATATAGATGCGGCAAACTAACATGGTGAGAATGAATCCGATGGAAGCTACCACTGTTAGGGTCATTCCTCCGGCGCTTGTGAGACTGATGTTTACGATGGGTAATTTTTCGCATCGGGTACCCTCATTATTTGGCTTGGTCTCTGGCTCACACGCTGTGCAGCTCGTGGATCCGATCTCGGCGCTGATGGTTCCTTGAGGACACTTAACGCAATCCCAACAACACGGCGAGGTGGTCTCCTTTTGGGTGCCTGGCACGCATTCAGTTGAACAGAAAGACACCGGAGTTGACCGTGTTTTCCAACGTAAATGCGATGTACTTATCTTGAGTTTAGGCGTGCTGTCCTTGTTCCAAGTTCCTATCGTGACCTTTCTGAGATGTGCTTCTGTTGCTGGTGAACGTTGAACGTTTATGATGCTGTATGAAGCAGAGAAAGGATCTCCAAACCTATCAAATCGCACTTTTCCGGTCAAACCATCAAAACTGACGTTGCTGAGGTACTTTTGTAGATCACGTCCCTTAATTGTCGGATGGACCGAAGGACAACTACCTGCATTTCGAAGACCTTGTTTATCGTTGCAGCGGTAAATGTTATCCAGAGCATATGCTATAGCGTACACAGCATCATATACGATACAAAGGGGCCGCGCAGCTTAGAAAGTACTTGGTCTAGCTTGTGATTTGCCTTGCAAGTTGCAATCCCCAAAGTATTCGACTTGGCCATTGAACAGTTAAATTCCAATCGCCAGAATTCTCTCCACCATCCTTCGTCGCGCTGGGCGCTTTTTGCAGGAGTGATACTCTTAACGAGCTTCTCAAATGCCGGAGAAGGATAGTCGTATGACTCTATTATCAGTGACCCATTGAGAATCGAGAAGCGTGGGTCCGAGAGAAATCTTTCTTCGATAGTGCTTCCGTCGCTCGTTATTAAAGTCTTTCCTTGTAACCCTTTTTTGGTTGCCACAGCGAAGAACTTTTCAAGGTATTTGCCATAAAGCCAAACGATGATCACTCCTATTGTACGGTGCTTTTTGATTCTAGCAACGATCTGTTCCATGTTGTCGTGGTAGTCTAGACGCGGGATAAACTCATTGAAAGCAATGCAGAACGTTTCTCTATCGTACGATTCTCTTTCCAGCGCTAAAATTCCATTCCGTCCATAAGAGTCATCCAAACCAATAGCCGCCACGTATGTCCAGTTAAAGCGCTCTATGATGTCTGCCATGGCCTTCGCTACCCAAGTATTAGAAGGAACTGTCCTAAAAATGTTTGCGTAATATGTGGAACTCAATTCTTCGCTTGTTGTAGTTGCGCTTATGACGGGAATGCCAGCGACCTGAAGTAGGCTTGCTACCAGGACCGCACTGGCAGAAGTAGAAGGACCAATAAGCCCTGAGATCGCCTTGGACCTGGCCCACTTGGTGGAACTGCTCTTTTCGGACGTGGTAGAGTTTGATTTACACATAAAAACTGGATCACTATTACGCTTGAAGTCATAGGCTTCTTGCATGGCCAGTGCCCGACTGTCACAATAGTTTCTTATGTCGTAACCGATGGACACGTTTGGCAGAAGACTGGAATTCTTGTTAACCATGTCAATAGCAAAGATGGCAGCCTCAGCGCGTCCAAATTCTTTAGCAGAAAATTTGCCACCCATGTGGAGACTGAATAGGCCACCTAACATTACGTCGCCGTCTTTATAGGATTTCAACCCTTGGTTACAGGATATACAGTGTCCAAATAGTACAACAAAGAAAGACAGGCTTAAAACGCAAGAAGAAACAGTTTTTTTTGTCCAAGTCATCGTTCTTATTCTTGCTGCCTAAAAGAAATTATTTAGTGAGCTTAAGCCACCCTGTAATACGACGTCACCATCTATCTCTAAATTTCATCAAGAGAGCTGAGAATCTAGACTGGTTTGTGAGTTTTTATCTATTGTATGTTACTGGTTGACCCTACCTCAAGACTAAGAACCAGAAATTCATTCATTACTAAGATCTGGAGACGAATAATGCGAAGCGTTTAAGGGAGCACGTCGTGAAATGCCAAAATTTCCATAAGACAACCAGGGGAATCAAAGTCATTTATTTTTCAAGACACCACTACCGGACCATTTCTACTTTATATGCTACACCGTTTGGCATTTTTGCTTTTTTCTGCGGCGACTGCCACTTTCACGTTCCCAATCAATTTTCGTTTGACATTTGTACGTTTGTGGACAGCAAAGCTTTACTCTAGTTGTTTACTAGCCTGGTTTGTTTTAAAAATCAGACCATTTCTG